AACCCTCATCTTCACGTCCCTTGCCCGGTTCTGTTATGCCGGCAGCACCACCGTTTCCTTTCCCAGATTCGGCGGCGGCGCTTGGTCCTCCTCCTCCACCGACTTATGGATTCCATATGTTGGAGCGGCGCACGATTGCTCTAGTTGATGGAAGTATCCGTTCATACTTTGCGCTTCCTCCTAATTACCAGGATTTTCCTCCCCAGAGCCGACTCGTTGATCCTGCTGCTAATAGATTTATGGGACCGGAATTTGGTCGATTCCCTCCCTTTCATCCGGAAGAGTTCCGAGATCAGCGGCAGCATTGGGATCGGCCGGAGGGATCGATGAAACGGAAATATCCAGGTGAAGAAGAAAGTGATAGGAGAGACGAAAGAGGTGAGATGATGAGACAAAGACAGCAGTTTATGCAGTATGCGAATCCTCGTGATCCGTCACTTATGGCTGGGACGAGCTGTCAGTTCGGAGAAGATGTCAGAGCAGCTAAGCATATGAGGATAGGGTCAAGTAGACATGAGAGTAATGGTCAGGCGCTTAAGCACCTTCAGGTTGATCAGGTTGCGTTAAAGAAATCTTTTTTGGGTTTTGTTAAGCGAATTTATGAGGACCTGTCAGAAAGGAAGAAGTACTTGGAGAACGGAAGAAAAGGGCGGCTTCAGTGTCTCGTTTGNGGCAGGTTTGATGGGTTTCAATCTGTTTCTTGTGTTTGTTTATTGCTTAGGTTCAGTTTGCTTGTGTTGGATACTCTTGTTACCTTGTTCTTGATGGTTGCTTTAATTGGTCTAATGTTTCTTAGAAGGCTAAATGAACATGAAGAAAGTACGAAAGAACACTAAAATACCTGGGATATATTTGCTACATCTGTTTGATGAGTATGTTATAAAAATTTCACAGTATTGAACTTGTTTTGATATGCTTTAATGGTTGTGATTTTAGCAAAATGTGTTCAATTTTTGATAAGCTGAATGGTGTTTGCATATTATTGATTTTGTTCCCCTTTTAAGGTATTTATCATTACTTGAATTTTTTCTATAATAATGCCTTGACTTGTATATACTTTTAATAATTACTAATATACTATGACTAGGGGGGTTCATTGCCTCTTAAGAAGCTTCGTAGATTATTTTAGTTAACTGGTTTAGCTCTCATTTTCTTTGTATTTACTGCTCCCGTGACTACTCTTATGCAGTACTTTTTTGGCTGGCCTTGAAGCAGCAAAAGGTGGTTTTTTTACTGCAGCCTTTAGTCATTAGGCTAAAAATCTATGTTGATTCTACCATAATAAATTGGTTTCCTTTTTGGAACTGATTGTTGCTTCTCATTTGTTTTAATCTTTGTTCCACAGCTTATCCACTGGTTTTTTGGTATCTCATGACTCTAGCTATTAGTCCTTGCCGTTTGCACGCTTTTATTTTTTGCTGGATACAACAGTATAATGGTAGTTTCTTGCAGCTGTTTAGAATTAGCTTGCTGATATATCTTTGTTAATTGGTTTTTGATGGTCACCCACCTTTCTTACTGTTTATTCTTCTCGTGATAACTTTTAGTTTGAATATATATCAAATAAATAGTTGATTATTAGTTTTTCTAATCATTGTTCAGTTCTTTGGTATTAGTGGGTGACCCTCTAAGCTAATTTGGAATCTGAGTTGGGCATTTTTTCAGTTGCGTTTTAATTTACTTGCTCATGGTCAGTTCACGAAATCCCTGCACCATATATCTGGTATTGAGTGTGTACTTAGCACTCTTTACTCATCCTCAGTGCACGTGCTTGTGATTTGTGGAACGTTCCTCATGAATCCAGCATGTGAAGTTGATTGTCTTCATGTTCATAACTCGTTAGGTGATTGAGATATTCAACACTCTATGTTTCTTTGTGATTGTACACACTTCCATCAAAATTTTGTTGTAGCTTGCTAACTAGATGGTGGTTGTCAATTAGTTTGGCATAAATGGTCAATTTGATGACCATTCCAGTCAATGTCAAGGATGCTAGATTTGTAGACTTTACTAGTAACTAATCTATTTTGAATGATTTTTTTAATGTCACAGTATAAGCTTGTTTGGATGTAGAAACCTTATAAAGTTCTCTGATCATTTATTGTTATCTTTAACATTCTTTAACCCTTCTGCTATGTTATGATGGTACCATAATTGCACAGAGGTTTGCGCGTTTTTTTCTTCTTTTTCTGTTAAATGTTTTTTGTGCATCCCTTATAACCCTAGCCTGTAGCTTAAGTTTATAATCGCACTATTCCATCTACATTTGATTCTTGTTAAATAATCTCAAAGATTGCCTACTAAGCTGATTTGTGGTTATTGCTTTGCACAATCAATTATTTGGGTATATTTAATAGTCTTAGCGTCCATATTGAAGGGTCTTAACTGCATGATTCTGATTTTTCCTGAGTTTTAAAACCTCAGACTTCTAAATGTGGTATTTGTGTGGTGAATCTGAATGAGTGTTTCCAATTGGACTGATGCTTAAACACAGGTCTTCTAAAGACGTCCAGGATACACATGATTTGGTAATGCACACATACTATTCTGATGATGCTAGCTCACGCGTGCATCACTTAGGCCTACACAAAGCTCTCTGTGTTTTGATGGGATGGAATTTCTCGAAGGCTCCTGATCATTCAAAGGCATACCAGAATCTACCTGCTGAAGTGGCAGCAGTCAATCAAGACCAGCTGATTATTTGGCCACCTCATGTTATTGTTCATAATACCAGTACGGGAAAGGGTAAAGAAGGGCGCATGGAAGGCTTTGGAAACAAAAGAATGGATAACAGAGTCAGAGGTATAACATGCGGCCTTTCATTCCTTATTCTTGCGTTTACTTACCGGCACAAAATCATCTGGCAAAGTTCATGAATCTTGCATTAATCCGCAGCTTAGGATTCTCTTCTCTCTTTTCTCCTTTTTTCCTCCATTTTAGGGGTGTTTTAGTAAAGTAGGTTATCGTCATCAACTTGATTTAGACCCAGAGTCTTAGAGATGATTCCCGCATACATTATTTTTTTAATTGTGTGGCATCTCTTTGTTATCCCGGCTCTGTGCCAGGATAACCATCTCCTTGATCTTTCAGAAGGAAGGTCAAGGTCCAAATCTATCTCTTTGTTTTGTTAACACTAGAAAGGCCGCAACCATTATTCTTAACTAAGAGTCGGGAACCTAACCAGATTATATTATCATCTGACGTACATTCTCAGGGCACACCTTCACTTTGCTTAGATCCCTACCCATTTCTCTCCCCTGTTTCTCTGTGGTTTTGAAAATTGCTATTGCTTGCCATAGAATAATGTCTAACTCTGGTTGGAGCTTTACTTCTAATACCTTTACAATATCAGAATCTAGGCAACAATGGTCTAAAAAGTATATAAGCTTCTTCAATGGAACTTTGTTGGGCCACCATTTTCCCTGTCGTTTTCTATAAGAATCTCACCTTTTATTTTCAGAACTTCTTGTGTGTCATAGTAGGTTCCGTAATGTGATTAGGCTAATGATGGGTGTGCTCATAGCTGTATCTAGTTATTGGCCTATCATATAACAATACTCGATGACACATTTTGTCTGCCTTCATTCTGATGTCTATATATATTTACAGAACTAGGACTCACTGGTGGGAAACCAAAGTCACTGTATGGAAGAGATGGTGGTCATTTGGGAATTACCCTGTTTAAGTTTGCTGGAGATGATTCAGGGATCAGAGATGCAATGAGAATGGCGGAATACTTCGAGAAGACGAACCGTGGGCGTAAGAGTTGGGCCAGGGTGCAACCACCCATTCCAAGTAAAGATGATGAGAAACACCATAGTCTTGTCGAAGTTGATGGGAGGACGGGTGAGAAAAAGAGGATCCTTTATGGTTACCTTGCTACCATAACAGACTTGGACAAGGTTGATTCGGAGACAAAAAAGAAGACCACAATCGAGAGCCTTAGAGAATTCACAGGATCAAAGTAAATTACAGTTTTCCCACAAAAGGTACACGTTACTTTCATGGTGTTTATTCCCCTATTGAATCTGGATTCTTAGTCATAAGCCCAAAAACTCGAAAGGAGTAAAAGCAAAGTTTGGTGTTTTCTTTTTTAGATGAATGAATGTCTTGGTGTTCTTGATCCATTGCTTCAGTGATTATGTTTGCATATAGACTAATATCGGTTTAACCAAGTTGGCTGATATATACGAATTTCTGTACCAATATATACGAAGAAGTATATTGTGTGATATAGTACTTTGATGCTTTTAATTCCTCTGTTGATGCTTTTATGTTCTTTCTTGTTTCCTTGTTTTATGTCCTCCTGCTCGCATAATGGTTGCTCCTTGTTCTTTAGGCTTTAGCCAGCTAATAAAAGTATCTGTTACTCACTCATATACCTATGAAAATATTCATGTACTCTTATGATTGCTTACATTTTGTTTGCTTAGTGGAGAAACAAAGAGAAGAAACATCTATGAATATGAAACAATGATTCTTAGTGCATTTCTATGTATTGATTGGTGTCTCTGACATTATTGAGTTAGTCTTTGTTTGCACTCTGGTAGCTTTATATTTATTGGCTACCTTAGATTGGCGACAACAACGGTGGTGTCTAGCTATTTAGGTAAACTTCTTATTTCCAAATTTCACAAATTGGAATGGGAAAATATAATGTCAGATCAACCACTATATACAGCATAATTTTTGTTTCTGTTCATTTATCTATTACTCTGTTTAATTAACATGTTAGGTATAAAGGGTTTAATGAATAGTGTGGCCACCGTAAACATTTATCTAAATAGTGTATATTTATATTATATAGGACAAAGTACTTTGTGCAGTGGATAGAGTTAAATTCATATTATATAATCAAATATACTAACAAAAAAACTTATAAAAAAGACTCTAGATTGTGCAAAGTCATAATCATGTTACTATAAGACTAGCTAGACTCCTGTCAAATCAGTGCATGAATTTAAATCATTATTCAAAAGTATATTCGATTTCACATTTTTTTCAAATTTCTCTCCTAACTTTTCTCCTGAAAAGTGTAAACAGTGAACGCTGTTAATTTGTAGTCTTCCGTTGCGGACCCAAATGATTTAGATTATTGTAAGATGTCAATTTNATATTTCGTCTCATTAGATTTTTGTTAAGTCCCTGTAATCTTTTTCATAATTAAAATGATAGTATATTACCAAGAGGACGAAAGAGTTTAGGATATTTTCAGTAATGGGTTAAATGTCATTGTCCCGTTTTACATTTTGTACATATCCACAGGGAAAAAAGTTTGTAGGATATGTCACTTCTAAATTCTAATGATGGAAAAAGGGAATAGCTTTAATAAAATCAAATTTCAGTTCCCTTGTTTATTCTTCTGTGTTGATAATACATGATATTTAAACACAGTACGAAGATTATTAGCAAAACTAATACAATATGGTGTAAAATGGTGGTAGTGAGTCTCTTTGTGGTTTGCTTAATTATCACGTTTTATAAACACAAATATTCGGTCCAAAGATTGTCACGCGTGCCTGATTAGGGCTGGGCAAAAAAACCGTTAAATTCGATCCGATTCGCTTTTTGTTTCGATCCGAACCGAAAAATTCGAATAACCGTAAAATTTCGAAGCAAAACAAATACTAAAATACGGTATCCGTAAAAATCAAAGCAAATATCAAATAGTGATTTAAAAAATACTATTATCCGATCCGATCCG